AAATTAATTTTAATCTTTCAAATTCAGAAGAAAAAATGAATAAACTAATGATAAGTATATAATTATGAGTCTACCCTGGGTTATAGTCATCATTGTACCAATGCAGTCAAAAAAAATATATTTTTACTTCTTTGTTACTGGGGGAAGGGGCCCGTGAATGTCGTAAAGCAGCCCTGGGGGGCGTGGTGGGAGGGGGTGTCTGGAGAAACACCATCCTGACAAGGTTGGACAGTTGCTGCTACTTAGGGGAGACATAGCAATCACCTTAATTCTCAACAGTAAATAATGATTTTAAATTCTGGCCAGAATATTACTCAGTCATGAAAAATACAGTGTGAAGGCTAAATTAAACTGAGGGAAAGGTCATGGGGCAGTGCGTCCTACGATTACTTCTGGGGATTTCCCTTGGGGTGAGGGTGAACAAGGAGGGGGAAAGGTAAACGGGTGGTGTGTCAGGCTGATCTCATTTCTTCTGTATATTTATTTATTCCCTTTTATCCCTATACCCAATCCCATTCTCCGACCTTCATAGGCACCCATTCTGATCCATTTTTTTTCCCCAAAATGAGCACTATTTTGCATGCTGCTGTTTTTAACTCGTGTACATGATATTATGTTAATACCACCTGTTTCTTTTAGTTTCACTAAGAACTGTGTTTTTAGATCCATCCATGTTGCTGTGTGTCCACAGTAGGGATCCACTCTATTCTCCCAGTGATAGACCCCACCCCCAAACCCCTTTGCCACCAACCCCTTCTTTTCCACTACAGATAATGCCACACATGTCATCGGCCATGTCCCTTTTAGACCTGTAGGAGTGTTCCTCTGGGAGGGGCCCCTGGGTGGCTCAGTCATTAAGCGTCTGCCTTCGGCTCAGGTCATGGTCCCAGGGTCCTGGGATTGAGCCCCGCATCGGGCTCCCTGCTCAACAGGAAGCCTGCTTCTCCCTCTCCCACTCCCCCTGCTTATGTTCCCTCTCTTGCTCTCTCTCTCTGTCAAATAAACAAATAAAATCTTTAAAAAAAAAGAAGTTCCTCTGGGGTACAGAACCAGGAGCGGGATTGCTAAGTGAGTGGCTGCACCCCATTTTTCTCCAGGCCATGAAAGCTACACTCTACCCAACTTCCACAAGCCCTGAGAGAGCCTAGTACCCTCGCCCCCCACCCAGCAGTTGACATTATCCAGCTTCCTAACCTGCCCTTTGCCGGTTTCATACAATGAAGATACAGTGAGGTCCCCCCGTCATCTTAAAGTGCAACTCTGTGATTGCTGATGATTTTAAGTGTGTCTCCATGGGCTAGTTTGTTACATTTAGAGAGTTCATTCTCTGAAATTGCCATTTAAAACCTCAGCCCACTTTTCTCTATTAGGGAAGTACCCTTGTTTTGATTTGCAGGCCTTCCTGATGTTAATCCCTGGTTTCAGATGTTGCAAATACCTTCCCCCATTCTGTCCCATGCCTGCTAACGTTGCCTATGGTGTCTTCCATGGAACAGAAAACTTTAATTTTGATGTAATTAAATGTACCAGCTTTTGGTCTGATGTTTTGTGCTTGTGATTTTTTGTTTGAGAAGTCTTTCCTTGTCCTTAGGTTACAAAAATATTTTACTACATTAACTTTATCGTTTTGCCATTCCATCGAGAACATTTACTCTGCCTGGAGCCCATCTCTGAATGAGGAGTTAGGTAGGGATCCTGTTTTATTTTCCTTCATATAATGAGTCAGTTTTCCACCATCATCATCAGACTATCTGTCCCTTATTGGTGATGCCACTATTGTTGTGCCATAAAACCCTAGGTGTGTATAAATCTGCCTCTGAGCCCTTTGTTCTGTTCCACTGGTCTTCTTGCCTATCCCTGCTCAGACCCCATGTTGGATTTACCACTATGGCCTCATAATATCTTTACATCTGCAGGTCAAGTCTTCTTTCTACTCCTTTCATTAAGGTTGACTTAGCTATTTGAGGCCGATATGCCTCCGTACGAAAGTTCAAGTACATTTTGGGGAAATCTAAAAAAAAAAAAAAATCATTTGAAATCTTTATTGGAACTGCATTGTATTCATAGGTTAATTTGTGAAGAATTGTTGTCTTTTGATATTAAGTTATCCATCTGGGAGCACAGAGCCAGTAAGTCTTCTTATTTCCTGTACATTTGTTATAACGTAATGAAAAATACAAGGAATGAAGAAGATGGGGCGGAGCAGAAAGAACCAGGCAGGGAGGCATGGTGGGGGGTCCTCCTTGCAGATGACCACGGTAGTCTGGAGCAAAGCTGTGGCTCAGTCACTTTCACGCTGGGCCAGGGGTCCAGACACCAGGCAGCCCTCCTGGCCAGGATCTTCCTGAAGCCTTCATTCATTCTGTGGGGCAGTTACTGCTATGCCTGCTTTCTGGGCTCAGTAGGTGAGGAATTGGCCCAATGCAAGTTGCAGAGGAAGAATGTGGTCCAGACAGGCTGACCTCAGAGTTTGTGCCTTTAGGCTGGTGCTGCCCACCTCTTAGACTGCTGCTATGGTCGTGCAGTGATAGTGGAACCCCATCCATCCGCACTGGGCCTTGGGGTGCTTTTTTGCCAGAGCTCCACCTGGCCTTAGCATGTGCTCAGCTTGGCACTCGGAGCCACTTTTAGGGTGACCCCAGGTAATGAGGGATGCCATCCCCTCTGCCCCTGCCTGGTCCTGGACTAGACAGCCAGTGGAAATGGACACATCCCCACCATTAACCACATCTCCCCATCTTCCCTCTCCATCAGCACCAGGAAACCCAGGCCATTCAGCCGTTGTGGTTTTGTTGCCCCTGCATCCAACTGGGAAAGCCAGAGCCCAGCGTTTCCCTGGAGACTCAGGGATCGGGGCTGAGGCAATAATTCTAGAACCCAGGAAATGCTCTGGGAGGAAGCATGGGCAGCCCAGGGAAGCCCAGCTCTGCATCAGCCCCCGTGCAGAGTAGCTCTGGGCAAGTTGCTGGACCTCTCTGGGCCTCCATTTCCTCCTCCCACACAGGGCTGGCCCACTTGGCAGGGCTGTACAAGGAATCTGGAAGGGAAACCCTTCATACCCCTTCCATGTTACACACAGCTCTCAAAGGTTCATGGTTCACACAAAGGGGCCACCTACTCTTTCTTTAAGCCATGGGGGTCTCTAATACCAGGCTCTTTACTTATGTCACCTCACTTAATGCTCTCAGGTCAAGGCAAGAACTTGATGATCCCCATTTTATGGGTGGAGCCACTGAGACTCAGAGGTGAGGAGACATGCCCAGCATCACACAGCCCCTAAGTAGCAGAGTCAGGATTTGAACCCAGGCCTCTCAGACACAGAAGCAGCTGTGGACCACACGGGTTTGTGTTCAGAGACTCTGAGACTTTGGGGTAAGGGAGCCCAGCCCTCCAGCATGAGAAATAGATGTCTGTAAAAGTAAGTCTCCAAACCCACCAAGCTTGTCCACAAAACCTGATACAATGTGGCTCCACTTTTGCAATTGTCCACACCCTAGAATTTCTCTTCGACTTGCATAAAGCAGGGGCCTCTGCCTTCCTGCCTTGCATCCGTTTGCTGGGTGGGAGGAGGGAGAAGAGAGGGCATTCACTCGGCGCGGGCATCGGGGAGCAGGAGGAGGGCTGCAAGCCCAGAGGCTGTGGGGGATGGTCTCGTAATAGTGGCTTCTCACCTCTAGCAGGTGCTTGACCTCGGCAAACCACACTGGCAAGGACAGGGGTGAGTAGGGAAGGTGAGATGATCCCAGTGGTGGGGAACTTAAGGCTAGAGGTGGGGCATGATCGTGTGGGGCGGGGCCAGCCAGGGGGCTGCTGTCTTTCTGTCCCCTTCACTCTTTTTTTCTTTCCCTGTGTTGGTTTACCTATTCATTCCTTCTCTCTCTCTCTCTCTCTCTCTCTCTCATCTCTGCCCCTTCTGTTTCCTACTGAGGAAACCAGCACGATGTTGCGAAACGGAGGCCCAGCCGCGGGAGGTGACACGTACCCCCGCCGGGTCTGGCCTGAGACACTCCCCTGGCTCAGAACCTTGCCCGGCCGATGCCAAACTCACTCCTCCAGCTATTCAGCCAACAGGTGTTTACTCAGGGCCTGAACCGTGCCAGGCTCGGGCTGGGCTGACCTGGTGAGTGAGGCTGACCTGCCTCCTCAATTGGAGCTCAGATCCCGGGGCGGGGGGGGCGGGAAGCCTGCCCTCTCTCTGCTCAGCCCCGCCCGCTGCCCCCCTGCCCTGCCCCTCAGCCCTTGAGTGTGAAGAGCTCTGGAACATTTGCCCTCCAGCCCACGGTGACGGTGACGGCAGATGAGAGGTCGGGCCACGCATGCGGCAGTCAGAGTGGGGAGGGGGCTGCTAGTCCCCACTACTGAAGAAGTGGCATTCTCTGAAATTCTGTGTCCCCGGACAGCCGGAGTGTTGGCAGCCCCCTGAACGGTGGGGGCTCATGCGTGAAGACAGGCCCAAAGCTCTAGTCCACAGCTGCCCCAGTGCCTGAGGGGATGAGGGCAGGCCGCCAGAGGGTGGGGGTGTGGGAGGGCAGTGGCCAGAGGGAGGAAGGGGAGAGGCTGGGCTCCTTCAAGGGGCAGCGCTAGCAACAGACTCCGCGGGTACTGAGACCAGAAGGTGGCCAATGGCAGACATGAGCTGCTTTGCTATGAAGGCAGGAGGTGGGGGTGGGGAAAGGGGGCGGTGCTGGCAGGGGTCTTTGGGTGGGGGTAGGTGTGGGGCGGGGGCACCGTTCTGCGCTGTCAGGGCTTTTGGGGATTTCGGAAACTTAGACTCCTGCTCTCCTGGATTTGTAGACTTTAGCACCGATCGAAGTATCTGGATGGAACCTTTGAGGCCCGGCGGCCCAGCCTGGTCCCCATCTCCTCCCTCCCCAGCCACATTGTACAAACACGGAAACTGAAGGCCAGAGGGAGACGGGGAGCAGCCTGAGGTCACACGGAGAGTCAGAGCTGAGTCTGGAATGTGCGGCCGGCTCCCAGCCTGACCCCACGGAGGCCTCCTATTCGTGAGACATGGTGTGGACTTGGTCGGCTCGGCCCGTGCCAGAAGAGGAGGCTTTGGCGCTCCGCCTGGGGAAGTAGAGCATGGTGAACCAGCAGAAGATGAAGACACCTGTTGGGAAGGAGAGGGTTGTTACGGGACGCGCGCCGGCAGGAAGAAGCGGGAAGGTGGCAGGTAGAAAAATTACAGTAAGCACAGAAATCGATAGAAAAGTCAAAACGCCGTGTGGGCTTAAAAGGAATTTATAACTCAAACTTGAAGCAACCATAGAACTATTGAGACGCGTTCAAGTGTACTAAGGACCGTCGCGTTTGGGAGGAAGAGAGATGTACTAAGGCCCTCACATGCAGTTGAGACAACTCAGTAGAGTGAAAAAGTGTTCAGGCTTAAATATTAAGGGTGCCCTCTGGAAGAATAATGGCACAGTCTAGTTTCAAGATGCATTCCTCCCCAATCCCGGGATGTCCTGGATGTGGACTCATGATTCTTCCCCGGGGGACCGTCTATGTCCCCCACAAGCATTAGCTTGGTTACTCATCCCAAAATCTGGTGAGAAAAATACCAGCGTTGTCCCAGCTTTAAAGATGATCAGAGATGAGCCTGGGCGGCTCAGATGGTTAAGCATCTGCCTTCGGCTCGGGTCTTGATCCCAGGGTCCTGGGATCGAGTCCCACATTGGGCTCCCTGCTCCTTGGGAGCCTGCTTCTTCCTCTGCCTCTCTCTCTCTCTCTGTCTCTCATGAATAAATAAATAAAATCTTTAAAAAAAAAAAAGAAAGATGATCAGAGGGGCTGAGCGATTTGCTGAGGTGGTAAGTGGAACCAGGGTTCAGGTCTGGGTCTGCTTATCCCCAGGGCTACCAAACCACGATGCCACATAGCCTCACGAGGCTCTGGGAGCCAGCCCTGTTTGGGTGGGCCCCCACCCACTGGCTGTGAGACTTTGACTCAAAGGCAAAACGCACCTTGTCCCTGCCTTCTCAGCAGTTTCTCTTAGTCAGGCTGTGATGCTTCTTAAAGCAGTGTGTACGACACAGGAAGCAAAGAGGAACGAAGAAGAAGGGGGAGCCATCACCCACACCCCTGAGGGGGTCAGGGAGGACCCCTGTTGATCGTTTCCTCCGCTAATCACGTCCCTCTGCAACCACAACTCCTTACAGACTGTCCACGTCATGTGGCCATCATGTCACGTGCCCCTGCCCTCCTGGTCACAGCTGATTGGACCAGAGATGGACACCTTGCCCACGATGGCCTGATCCGATCCTTGACTCTCCTAAGAACATGGACCAGGCTGAATCAGACCACCCTCCCCAGCTAGAGAAGGTCATGTCGAATGGAAGAAGCCATGTGGGAGCCTGGGTGGGAAGGGGCCAGCAGAGAGAAGGAAGGAGAGTCCACAGAGAGAAGAAGGTGAGAGACTACATACGGCTCCAGAGCAAAAATAAAGTATCTGCTTTGGTTTGGGTGGCTTTTCCTGGCCCTGGTATCAGCTGCCAAGAGGTCAGCCAGCCTTTCCGCCCTAGGGTCCTTGGGACAGCCCTGGATATTTGAAGCCGGTGCCCTTGATTCGAGCCAGCCTGAGTGGAATCCTGTTTCTTGACATCCACCCCCACCCCATACCCCCAAAACACCCCCTCGCAGACGAGGCAACCCATCACCTCCCTGGCCCAGGAGCCTCACCTTGCAGGGAGTTGAAGACTGCGAAGACATAGATGGTGGACCGGCCCAGGGGCATGAGGATGGCCAACCACCAGGTCACACCCACCAGGCTCGAGAGGCCCAGCACCGTGAAGACCCCCTTCCAGTTCGGTCCCTGCCCCTTGCCTGCTGTGGCACTCGGCAGAGTGAAGATCTTCCAGGCCACGAGGCCCAGGACCACGGCGCTGAAGAGGAAGGTGACAAGGAAGTAGCCGTGGACGGTGGTGTAGAGGGCAGAGACAGTTGCCTTCTCCCGGAACCAGCACCTGGAGGAGGCAGATGGCTGCCGGGGCTGGAGACGTGCCCCCGCCCAGCTAGCCCCCAGCAGTCTTCCCTAACCGACCTTCTGTGACCAAAAAGACCCCTTCCCCTCACTGCCACCCACCAATCCCCCATTCTCCTGGGAAGGGGCTGTCATGAGGCTCCAGGCTGCCATCTCTTTAGACCGGGGAGTGCAAAGGGGCCAATTTAGCCCCCAAGACATATTTTGTTTACCCTACATTATGTTGTAAAACAACTGAATTAATGACCACCCTTTAAAAAGTGGGAGGTTTGGCATAAGCATCCAGATTTATGCTTTCTTTTTTTTTTTTTTTAAAAATTTTATTTATTTGAGAGAGAGTGAGTGGCGGGAAGTGGGGGTGGGGGAATGGAGAGGCAGAGGGAGAAGCAGACTCCCCGCTGAGCAGGGAGCGGGATGCGGGGCTTGATCCCAGGATCCTGGGATCATGACCTGAGCTGAAGGCAGACGCTTAACCACGGAGCCACCCAGGGATCCCTTTGGTTTTCTTATAAAAGCATACACCTGGCAGCTCTGTGGATGCCCTCCCGAGGGATATTAGATGGGTATGTGACTGCCTGTCTACTACACTCCCCACCTGGGCCACCATGTGCACATATGTTACCTCCCCCAGCCCCTGTGGCCCCTGCACTTGAGGCCCTAGGGACAGGACCAAGACCCCACCAGCTTCTCTCAGCACAGAGCCATGGGCCCGGGGCAGGCACCCTGGGAGAGGCTCAGCTCAGCTCCATGCTTCCTGCATTGCAGGGCGAAAGGCCTGAAAGAGTATGTCCATCACCCCCCATTGTACAGATAAGGAGACTGAGGCCCTGCGAGAGGCCAGGCTAGCCCACACAGCAAACTCAGAGGCCTAGCCTAGCTAGAACCAGGCCTGCCACCAATGCTGAGCAGATTGTGTCCTGCACAAGGGCACCTGGCTGAGGGGACAGGTGAGGCTGAAATCCAGCTCGCCCTCCACTCCCCAGGCTGAGCCGCTGGCATGGCAGGTTGGCAGAGTCGGGGGGGTGGGGGTATCTTTTAAAATTTGCCCAAAGGTGCCATATGGGCTGGTGGTGGCCCAGGCTAGAGCAAGGCATCCTGCCTCAGCTCGCTCTCTCCCTTCTCAGACCCCCTGTCTCATTGTACCTTTTCCTTCCGGTCCTCAGTTTACCCCTCCAGACCATGAGCTAGCTGGAGGATCCTTTGCCTTGACGTAGTCTCTCTTCCCAGCTTTCCCTCCCCTCCCCACATCCCACTGACCCAGATCTGTGCAGCCAGGAGCCTGACGTCACCCCTGCTCCCCCAGCCCCCACTCACAGCTCCAGCGTGGTGGCGTTCCTCCTGTCGCGGATGGTGTAGCGGCCGTAGCTGTCCGCACTCCCAGTGCCAAAGACAATTAGGGCAGGCAGGCCTGGGCACAACGGGAGGAGGTATGGCATCGCTGGGGCTCCCTTGGCACGTCCTCCTCCAAAAGCCCCTCCAGCTGCCCGCCCCTCGAGCCCTGAGCCTGTGTGAGAGAGGGCGACCCCTCGGGGCCCTAGGCAGCTCTCTGTCCCGCCCCTCCCACGGCCAGCCATGCTCTCCGCCCGCCCGAGCTGCACCTACCCCAGCCCACGAGGCTCAACTTCAGGAAGTAGTGGCCGAAGTAGGTGTTGAAGACCTTGATGACGAGCAGGTAGAGGTGGAAGGCTTCCAGGCCCATCCAGGTGAAGGTGCAGAGTAGGAAGTAGTGGAAGACGGCTCCCCGGGCCCGGCAGGTGGCATCCGACTGCTTGGGGCCATGCCCCACACTGGCGAAGAAGGCGAGATTCAGGAGAAACAAGCTCATGCTCAGGGCCACGTGGATCTTGGGGGCATCTTCCGACTTGAACCTCTGCCGGTAGAACCTGCAGTGGGAAGGGCTGATGAGAGATGGCAAGAGCTGGGCCGCAGCTCCTCTCGGGGAGGACCTGCACCCCAGCGTCCCCACCCCGCCTCCCCTGGTCCACCCCTGCCAGCAGCCGGCAGGTGAGTGCTGTCAGGCTCAGGGTTAGGAGCGCTCTCTCTCCTGGCCCACACGGCCCTGGGGGGCCCACATGCTGCCGGCCCTGTCCCTCCACTCCATGCTCTAGCCAAACCGCACACTTTGCAAGTCCCTGAATGCATTCTGCTTTTCCACCCCTTCCAGACTTGGCCTCTGCTTTTCTCTCTGCTCTCAATGCCTTTTCCTACTCTTCCTTCAAAACTTCCCTGGGCATTTCCTTCTCAGGAAGCTGTCTCTGAATGCCACTTAGCAGATTTGGAAGTTTCCTGCAGCGCAGGGTAGCCCCCTCCCCTCCCCTCCGGCTGTGACCTGGGGCTAGTACAATCGGCAGCAGGGGGCCCTGTGTGCCTTGGTTGAGTGAGTGGACGGACCTACCTACTGGGCAGAGATGCAGGAGGCCGGGACGTATGTCAGAATTCCTAGCAAGTTGGATCCCAATGGCTCTCACTGGAGGGATGGGAGCCCCGGGTGCCTGGACGGGAGCGGAGGGCTCGTGTCCACCTCACCTGAGATGCCAGGGCCCACCTGTGACAGTCGGTGATGAGTCCTCCCGGTGCGCCAAGCCCGGCTCACTAGGTCCAGCAGTGCGGCCGGCTTGGCAAGTCATGCTCAACTTGTTGGGGGTGGGGGTTCTGCTCCAGGCCCGGGCTTGGTGGGGGGCCGGGGTGGCACTGCTCACACTCATGCTTTAGTCTGAGATGGAGGGGGTGAGGCTAGAGGGGGCTGCAGCCCAGGGCCAGATGGGGACAGAGGCAAAGAGGCATGTGGAGAAAGGCCGTGGGAGAGCCCCAGACGAACACAGGAGATCCCAGGGCTGCTCTATTCAGCCCCGAGTCAGAAGCCTGGGTCCAGGGCAGCCTAGGGCATGGGGCTGCTCTCACAGGCTCCTTCAAGCTGGCCGTTCCTGTGGGTCTCTCAGCCCTGGCTGGGACCCAGACAGCCTGAGCACAGGCCACACTGATCTCTGCCTGTCCTGCCCCTGCTCCTCCTTCTAGAAACAGACTTGGGTCTTCCTGAGGAGCACACTTTCCTGCTCACAGTCCTGATGTTTGGGTGAGGTCGGCCCTTTGTTAGCTCAAACCCAAAAGCAGGCACATGACCTGGCCTGGCCAATCAGTGTAATCCATCCCTTGACCACAGCGGCCTGTTCAGTCATGGGCACATGACCCAAGTTAGACCAGCAAAACTCCACTCTGGTATACACGGGATAAAATTGCATAGAACCACACACACACACACACACACACACACACACACACACACACACAAATGCATGTAAAAAATTATGGAAGTTGTATTCTAGTTACTAGCACTGTACCAATGTCAATTTCCTGGTTTTGATATGATACTGCAGTTATAGAAAATGTTATCACCAGGAAAAGCTGGATAAAGGAGCCAGGGGACTCTATACAGTATTTTTGTAATTTCCTGTTAGTCTATAATTATTTCAAAATAAAATGCTAAAAGTCTTCAGTGTTGGAATTTCATTTAGAAAATTCGCCGCCTAGGCAGCTAAGAAGCTGTGAGGCAAGCCCGGGGCTCCCCAAGGCCCCTGAGGGTGAAGAAGCTGCTTGACATGGCTGACAAAGGAGAAAGCAAAGTTGGGAGAAGCAGAGGGACAGCAAGGCCTGGGGGCATCTTTTGAGCCCCTGGATCCAACCATGCCTGAAGGGAGCGCCATTCCATAAACCACATATTCCCCATTGTGTTTAAGGGAATTTGAGTTGAGTTTCTGCCACTTCCAACTGAAATAGCTCTGACACATTTCAACCCCCAACCCCATCTTATAGATGAGGAAAGTAAGCTTTGGAGAGGCTATCGGTATAATGTTGCACAAGCAGGGGGCTTTCCGGCCTGTTCTGCTCCCACCCTTGAGGAAAAGAGGGAGACGCAGGGTGGGGGTGGGGGATCACCCACCTTAGGACAGCGTAGAGGGCAATGGTAAAGGCCAGGAAGATCATAGAGGCTCCACAGCCAGCCTGGGAAATGCGAACGAGGAACTGCACGGTGGCCCGGTCCAAGATCGGCTTCTGTGGGCGACCCCCCCCGAACCGGGACCCCATCAGTTGGAGGCCAGGCCCCACACATCCCAGAGGCCCTGGCCCCTGCCAGGAAGCCTCAGTGCCTCCAGAACTGCTGGGATCAGGGTGGGTGGGCTGTTACCAGCAGCAAAGCAAAGAAGGTCAGATGGTCACAGCGACAGACAGTCCTCTTGGCTCTGAGCTCCGTGGAGCAGCCCGTGGAAGACCAGTCTCCTGCTGACCCTAGAGGGGGAGGGAGGGGAACATAGGAGAGTGTATGGGAATGTGGGGGAGTGGAGGGGAGCGGAGAGGAAGGAAGGGAGGGGAGAGGCTCTGCCTACCTTTAGTCACATCCCAGAACACACAGCTGAGGGTCATGTTCTGCAACCAGAGAGTGGGAGTCAGGGTGGAGGCAGGGGGAGGTTGGGAGAGAGGAGAGGAGAGTGGGGGGAGGGGAAGGGAGAGGACAGCGTGCCCCCCCTGCCCCGAGTGTGCATTGGGTAGAAAGCAAGGCTCACCCCGTAGATCACGCAGGAACATGAAGTGCCCCATTTGGTGTGCACGGATCAGCATATGAGAGGTGTGGATGTGGTGTGGGGCTGCAGGGGGCTGGGTAGCATGTCTGTGTATGCGTGCCTTTAGGGGACCGTGTATGTGGGTGGGTGTGTGATCTCGGGTGCGCACGCATGGGTTTGCCAGGTCCTCGGTGCGCCTCTGTAAGCACAAGTGGGAGGGTGTCTGGGGGTTGAGGGGACGTTCGTGCGCAGGTGGCATGTGTCCCTGGGTGCACCTGTGTGTATGGTCTTAATGGCCGGGGGGATGTGGAAGACTGGGAGGTGCAGAATCCTACACCTGTCTGCCCATATGCTTGTGGGTGACCACCCGCCTGTCTGCCCCTCAGTAGCTGCCAGGCTTGGGTCGGGGGCTCACAGAGGGTAGGTGCTGGTGGGAGAAAGTGATCTCCAAAGGCTCAGCCAGCCTGCTGACAGGTATTCCGCCCAAACTCAAGCCCACCAGGCGATTGTTCAACACGCGGCTGCCATCCTCCAGGCTGAGCTGGGGGCCCTGTGGAGGGAGATGGGGGGTCAGGCTTCAGAAGGGGCTGTCCCAATCCAGTCCTGTTGGGAGTTCCTAGGAACCTCCAGGATCCATGGCCCTTGCCTGGAGAGTAAAGTCTGTGGCTGGGGGACCAGGGGACCAAGGGGTCATGAGCAACCTTCTTCCTGCTGCCCCCTGCAGTCTCCTGCCCAGGCTGGATCACTGTGGGCCCTACACCCCAGGCCAACTGGTCGCAAAGCCATGCACCCAACAGCTCTCCTTTGCTGGCCCCAGAGCTCCTCTGCCCTCTTAGCTGGAGGAGTGCAGGGCTGGGAGAAAGATCAGCCCCAAATGGAGGGCAGTGGGTGCCTACACCAGCACTCATGGTGCACTGTATCTACACCTGAGTGGATCACACACCTCTGGGGATGCCTGCCTGGGACACATTTGTCCTGTATGACACGGTCATACAGGAACACACATGACTGCATGTACTCCAGGACTATGAAAGAATATGCATGTTTGTCCATGCACAAGGACACACAAGGGGACACGAACGCTTGGGATACACATACAAGTCCAAGGACACTGGTGTGTGGGATCCAAACATCTGAGTGTGTGTGACCAGCGTGAGTCTGCAGTGCACAGACTCCAGAGAGAGAAGTCCGGGGTGACCTCGGGCTGATTTAGAAATGCTCTCCTCAGGCTCATCACCTCCTCCATCCCCATGGGGACCCACAGCGAAGACTCCAGAGAAGGCAAGCTGGGGCACAGGTCCCTGGTGAACTGAGCATTGATCCACTGAGCTGCCCTGAGCCTCCTCCAGTCCTCTCCTCACCTTGAAGAGATTCCCCGGACCGACGTCCAGGACAGTGATGGCCAGTAAGACCTCCGACCTGTTGCTCTGCAGGGATTCAAAGAGGCTCCTGGGCAGCCGGACTCTGTCGGGGTGTTCACGCTCATCCTCTGTCACCTGCCCTGGAACCTGGAACCACAGACCCCGGAACTCCCATCTTACCCCAGGGTTCCAGCCCCCAACACAGGGTTCTTGCCATTTCCCCACTTGGGAGGGGAAACTGAGGCACTGGGTGGAGGGGCAGCACCTTAGAGCATCACTCTGAGAGGCAGGACACTCGGGGGCACACTGCAAGCTCACCTCTCTCCAGGCTGTGAGCCCCTAGACAAGCCACAGTGCTCATGGACCCTCAGTTTTCCCACTAAGGAGAATGGGGCTAACCAGGTGCCTGCATGACCACGCATCGGGGTCAGGTTCAAAGTGGGCTGTGAAGGTCAGTTTGCAAGTGTGGGGGGAGGGTCAGCTGTGGTGCATTTTAGGCCAGCATCCTGCCAGCCCCTGTGCTTACACAGGGCTTTAGGGTCATGGTGTCTGGGTTCTGACCTGGGAATAACTGGAAAGAATAAAGCTCCCAGGAAGAGAGACCGCGAGAGCAGAGGCAGAAATGACAAAACTTTACACGGAATGTGATTTCCACCTCCGCCCAACAGCAAATTTTGTAAAAGCTAAGAATGGTTAAAATAGTAAAATAAATCTCACTGGTGATTTGTTCATTCTTGACCTCGTTGCTACATTGGGGCTGCAGCCTGGTCCCACCGGGTCCTGCCTCAAAGGCATCCCATGGGCGCTGGAACAGGAGGAGCTAAGGTTGGAGGCAAGGGACCCAACTTCCTCCTTCCCAGTCTGGACCCTTGTCAAAGGACGTGGGACTGTCTCTGAGGCCAACGGGTGCCCCCACGCAGAGGGCTCAGCCGCTTGGGTCCCATCAATAAAGGCCCTATCTTTCATGTCCCCTTTTCCAGACAGACCTAGAAGGACCTCGATGATAGCCAACTCGCCTGCCGCCTGAACTTCCACCCTCAGCTTCACCCCTTAAAGGGGGGGCTGCACCCTCCCTGCACCCAGCACTCCCTGTACATTATCTCCCATAACCTTGAAAGTGGGCAGCACCGGCACCATTTTACAGAGGGGGCAACCGAGGCTCAGAAAATTTCGGTCATGCGCCCAACGTCACATTAGCTGGTAAGGAGCAGAGCTGGGACTTGAATCCAGACCCGTGTAAATCTAGAGCTCATCTTACAGATGAGGGCTCTGGGGCCCAGCAAGGGGAAGGGGTTTCCTGGAAGACACCTAGTGAGGGGGTGGGGAGTCCAGGACTGGAATCCAGATCCCCTGACTCTCAATTTGGTGATCTTCCAAATTGTACCAGCCTCATGCCCTGGGTCATTTGTCACCCCGATCCACCCATCCAAGCAACTCAGTAGCACCTGTTAGCAAAGTGGCAGAGCACTATCAAATGGGACATGCGAGGGATAAGTTTTGGTGGGCACCAAGCGCAGACCAGGAGTCTCTCAGGATTCGGAAAAATACGTCTGAAGGAAATGGAGCCAGAACCAGCCAACAGGGATAGGGAACTCTTCACCTGGGAGGGCGCCAGAGAGAAGAACAGGTCTTCTGAGATGTTGGTGCTGACATTCTGGACAGCAGCCTTCAAAAAAGACATGTTCACTATGCCCGACTGACTCTCCAGCAGATGGTACTCGAATTCCAGCCAGTAGCTGCAAAGGGCCGGGGAATAGGGGACAGGTAGGGTCTTGCAGGCTGAGTTACCCACTCCTCTGGCCCCCAGCCTGGATGATGGGAGAAGAGATGCCATGGGCAGCCACCATCGGGCTCTTGGGGTAGGAGGGGTGACCCAGAATATCAAAGGAAGGACCTTGGGGTCACTGCAGAAGGGTGGCATGGGAGCAAGCCAGGCTGGTTTGGGGGGATTTCAGCCAGGGGTCCCTCTGAATAGTGTATGTGTTTGTCTTTTTTTGTAACAAAATATATATAACATAAAGTTTACCATTTTAGCCATTTTAAACTGTACAATGCAGTGACATCGAATACATTCGCAATGTTGGGTGACCACCACCACTATCTAATTGCAGAACATTCTCATCACCCCTGACCCCATGAAGCAGTCACCCTTCTTCTCCTCCCCCAGCCCCTGGCAAACACCGAGCTATGAATCTGCCTATTCTAGAAGTTTCATATAAATGGAATTGTACGGTCTCTGGCCTTTGTGTCTGGCTTCTTGCATTTAGCATGTTCTCAAGATTCATCTCGGTTGCATAAGCATGTGTGAGTATTCTATTCCTTGTTAGGGATGAATACGCCGTTGTGTGGATAGACCACATTTTGTGAATACATTTATCCACTGATGGGCATTTGGGTTGTTTCCGCTTTTTGGCTGTCATGAACCGGGCTGCTTATATTCAAGTCCAAGCTTTTGCTTGAAGACTTGTTTGGAATTCTTTGGGCCATATACTTAGGAGTGGAATTGCTGGGTCGCACGGTCATTCTATGCTTAACTTCTCGAGGAACTGTCGAACTGCCCTCCACAGCAGCTCTACCAATTGATATTTTCACCACCCACGTTTGTGGGTGCCCGTTTCCCCACATCCACACCAACGCTTGACATTCCCCATTTTGTCTTGTTCTGTTTGCAGTTGCTGCCATCTTAGTAATTGTGAAGTGGTATCTCATTGTGGTTTGAATTTGCATTTCCCTTATGACTCATGATATCAAGCATCTTTTCATGTACTGATTGGCCTTTATATACCTTTATATATTCCTCTGAGTATCTCCAACTGTGGGATGATGATTGTGTGATATGAGTGCCAACTTGCACTTATTGAGTGCTAACTGCATACTGGGAATTCGCCCTTTCAAGGCTGAACTCTGAGGCAAATAAATGACTTACGGCAACTGAACTGGTGTTGGAAGCACAGGGAACACAAAAGTTAATTGCCATTTATTTTATCACGGCCCCTGTGCCATCAGCTAAAAGCAACACTCCCCCCACCACGCCCCACCCTCCACCGCCTGCTCTCCATGGTATTGAAACTTCTCCGTGGCCAGAGTTCCTTTTCCCAAGCTAGGATCCTAAGATGTACTGCCTACCTCTCCTTAGCAATTCTCAAAAGGGTGAGGGCTGAGGTAGCAATGGGAAAGAAGGGGAAGAAAGCATACACAGCCAGATCAAGGCTGTTGGAAAGGAGTAGCTATGGAGGCCTTGACAAGGAGGCAAAAGGGAGGCTTGTATTTTCATGCATTTTTGAACAGTCGCAGTTACCAGGGGAAGAAACCCCAAGAAACCACAGAAAAAATATTCTACAGTATAAAGAGTAAACCATGCAAATATGTGCAAATGTGCTTGGGTGGGGTGGACCGTTAGAACACCATCCAGCCAGAAACAGCAGGATGAGATTGTTGAAATCTGTTGATTGAGCTACATGAAGAGTCTAGCTTTTATTTACCTTTTAAAAATCTAAACAAAGTATTGTGACTTTCACTGTTACCAAATATAGTGAATTATAACTGTATATATGTACTTAATTGTATTTCTCTCTATATATAGATACACACACAGACATATATATATATATATATATATACACATAGATATATGCACTTAAAAAATTCTTTGGCCTCACAAAACAACACAGTGCCCTTTCTTGAGGGAAGATTTCTTGATCTGGTTCTCAGAGCACTTAAAAAAATTATTTTAGTTGTGAAATGTAACATATAGTCAGAAAGTCTAAGGCATAGATGTACAGTTGAATTTTCAGTGAGAAATTTGACACCCACTTAAACATCATCTTCTTTGTCTGATATAAGCTACGCAGGTATCTTTGGTTCCTGTTTCCATGATATGTGTTTGTCCACACTGTCCCTTTTTTTTTTTTACATTGTAAGTGGTGTGAGATCCAACAACTTGCCTTCTACCTAGGAGGGGATATCTTGATGTTCTCCAGATCTCTGAACACCCAGAAAATTCCCCGAGGTGATGGGCCCCTGAACTCTTGTGGGGTTTATTTCTCATCCTCTAGTTCACATTTATTGTCCAAAGGCATCTTAACTACTTGCCACTTTCTGCTCATCAGCTCCAATCCACATGATGTTGCCAATATAGTGGACCAGAGTGATGCTATGTAGAGTGTCAAGATTAATAAGGTCTCTGTGAACTAAGTGATGACAGAGATCAGGAGAATTGACAGAGCCCACAGGAAACCGTGACAGTCTATTGTTGACTCTGCCAAGTCAAAGTAAACCATTTCCAGGAGCCCTTGAAAGCTGGTTTAGAGAACTATGCATTAGCCATGGAACGTATCGATTGCCGGAGGTTGTGTTGATTTCCTCTGGGACAGCAGCCACAATTGGACTCACCACCTGATTAAGTGTAGGCTAGTTCACAGCCATTCCCCAACATCCGCCTAACTTCTGGTGAGTTAAGATAGACGGTCATAGGCATCACCACCCCTGAATCTCTCAAGTCCTTTATTGGTGGCATTATTCTCTGCAGTTGTCCCCAGGGATGTACTTTGGTTTCTGCTTACTATCTTGGTAAGAAGACATTCCAGGAGCTTCCATTTAGCCCAGCAATGGAATGCCCTCCCAGAGGCAATTAAATGGAGAAAGCATTCTTTTCAACAAATGGTGCTGAAACAATTAGACATCCAAATGCAAATCATAATAATAATATAGTTAGACATCTACCTCACACTGTGTATAAAAAATTAACTCCAAATGTATAACCTAATTATAAGAGCTAAAACCACATACACTTACAGAAGAAAACTTAGAAAATCTGTAGCTGGATGAACATTTCTTTGATATGATATCAAACACAAACACACATTTAAATTTGACTTCCTCAAAATTAAGGGCTTTTGATCTTCAAAAGACATCATTGAGAAAACAAAGAGACAAGACATACACGGAGAGAAAATATTTGCAAATTGACATCTGATAAAAGACTTGCGTCCAGAATACATAAAGAATTCTTAAAACTTGGGGCACCTGGGTGGCTCAGTCTGTTAAGCATCTGCCTTTGGCTCAGGTCATGATCTTAGGGTCCTGGGATCGAGCCCTGCATCGGGCTCCCTGCTCAACGAGGAGTCTGCTTCTCCCTCTCCCTCTCCCTCTGCCCCCCCTCCACCAGCTTGTGCTCTCTCTCTCTCAAATAAATAAATAAAATCTTAAAAAAAAAAAAAAAAGAATTCTTAAAACTCAGTAGTGAGAAGACAAAACTCAATTTAAGAGAAGAGGGAAAGATTTGAGTAGTCATTTCACCAAAGAAAAGATACAAATGGCTCATCAGCACATGAAAAGATACTCAACATCACTGGTCATTTGTGAAACACAAATTAAAACCGCAGTGGGCTACCACTGACACTTGCGGGAGGGCTTAATAGCCAAAAGACTGACAATGTTGTGAAAATGTAATAGAACTACAGCCGTTTTTCATGCTGATGGGAAAGCAAATGATACACTTTGAGGAACAGTTGGGCGTTATTTATAAAGCGAAGCATATCAGATATCCCAGCAATTCTGTTCCTAGGCATTTACCCAAAAGAAATGAAAACATACGTCTACAAAGATGTGAAGTCAAATGTTCATGGCAGCATTATTCACAATCACCAAACTGGAAACAATTCAAATTTCCATCGACTGATGAATGAATAAACAAAATGTAGTACGTCCACACAATGGAATATTACTCAGTAATAAAAAAGGACAAACTACTGATACATGCTAATGTATGAATATAACTCAAAAACATGGTAAGTGAAGGAAACAAGACTCAAAAGACAGTATGTTGTATGATTCCCTTATAGAAAATACCCAGAAAAGGCAAATCTATAGACTAGAAAGGAGATCAGTGCTCGACTGTGGCTGGCTATGTGAGCAGGGATTGCTTGCAAACAGGCATGAGGGTCCTCTGGGGGCTGATGTCAGTGTTTTTAAAATGACTGTCTTAATGGTTCCATACACCGTACCATGTACCAATTCAACTGTCCTCTAACAATGTATAGACTGGATAGTATGTAAATTGTACCTTCATAAAACTATCAAAGTTAATAAAAAGAAATGAGATACCACTATATCCTTTCCAGAATGGAGAAAATTAAATGACCAATAATACCAAGCTTCGCAAGGATGTGGGGTAACTGGGACTCTCACAGGTTGGCAGTGAGAGTATTAAGATTCATTATACGTCTAACTTTGACATCGATGCCACCTCGGAGTATTTACCCAAGAGAAATGAACATGTGTGTTCATGAAAAGACATGTACAAAAATGTTCAGGGCAACTTTATTCATAAGAGCTCCTTTTAGGGACGAAATATTTGTGCCCTCCCCGCAAACTCATATGTTGAAATGGGTTGAAGCCCAGACCGGCCTCATGGGGTTGTGAAGGTAAAGAAGGTAATTTGGTTAAATGTTAGATTTGGGAACAGAATCCACATCTTCTGACCCCAAAGCCTCGCTTTTTCCAAAGTGCTTATCCCCACCGAAAGGCAGCACAGAGAGGAGCTCCCAGAACAGCGTCCCAGAGCTAAGAAGCCTACTGAAGCAGTTTCAGGTGGGGAGAGCCGTGTTTTCAGGCCACGGAAATGATGTAGCTCGATCAGATTGCTGTCCTAACACTGAGCCTGAGAACACAGGGTTTCCATTCATTTTTTTCAACAAACATGCATTGAGTGCCAACTATGAGCTTGTCCCGAGTATCTTGGAATGATGGCCAGCTTTGATTCAAAGGCAGAGGAGGAAAGAGAGGCAAAAATATTTTTGGAGCTGATTCTTCGAGGTGTTGTATTCTAAACCCCTTCTTCTCTCTCACCCCCTATCTCTTAACCTTTTGGTCTTATCAGTCTCAGTCTTATTGATTCTACATCATATGATATTTCTAATCCATCCCTCCTTACCAGATGTACAGTGCCCATTGGTGGGGATGGTGGTGGTTCAGCCTTCACTCCTACCCAGACCACTGTGGTTGCATCCTATCTGGTCACGTCTCTGGCATCACCACCCTTGTGCCCTTGCCTGAAACCTGAGCAATCTTTCTCAAATGCAAAATTGACCACGTTCTTCCTCTGTTTAAAATATGTCCTTGCTCTGCCCCCTCCCACATTGGCATAGCTTACCTGACCCTTCACATTTTGGTCCCTGCTTATATTTCTAGCCCATCCCCTACCCAAAACACCTCCCCATCGTTGCCTCCATCCCCAGCACTTCACCTTTTCACATTTCAAAGCACTGTCGTTCTCCCCCAATACTCCCTGAAGTTCTGATGCCTGTAGCCCCTAACATTGCTTGGATCCAACTAGAAAACTCCTATGCAGTCTTCAAAGCCTTTTTGTGAGTCACCTCCTCTGTGAAGCCTTGGCAGTCTTCCTTTCTTTGAGCTAACCTGGCACCTCGTCCACCATTTTCTATGATCGCGCTCTAGAATCATCATCATTTGGGCCCATGTCTGACCTTCCACAATGGTAGGGATGGGGGCTGGTTCATCTCTGCCTCCCCTGGATCAGAAAATTCTCAGTGAGTGGATCGGAGGGAATGTGGGTGTCAAACAAGAGGGTGGAAAGATGAGTTAGGAGCAGCGTTTTCAGAAGCCGTAGGGGCTGAGAGCTTGGTCCCTTCCTAACAGCCTCCCTGCCACCCTCGAAGGATCCCCAGATCCCTGTTCTAGGTCAGAGGGTCCTCTTACCTCTGCAAGTTTTTCAGGTCACAGTCTTCATTCCCTGACTGCGTGCACTTTGTGAAGCAGCCAGCAGTGTTCTCCAGGTAGAAAGATTCATACTGGCCCTTATTGATGAGCCCCAGGCAGACGTTTCTCGATTGCTCCGGTTGCCTCCTCTCTTGCTCCTGTTTGTTGCTAGAATATTCCATACCTGAAGGAGGGATGCAGAAGGTGTGAATGGGCTGGGTGGGGAGGCAGCAAGGGCAGGGTGTTGGGGGTAAGAGGCTCAGGCTCCAGGGTCTGGCGCTGTGGGCTAGAATTACAGTTCCATCCATTCACACTATGTGTACTTGAGCTGGACTCACTCTCCCCGGGCCTCAATTTCCAAGGCAAAAGGAGATATGACCTCCCACTTCATAGGGCCAGTGGGATGCTTTGGGGAAAGTGTGTACAAAGGGCTTGGCACATGGCTCTGTAGATTAAAGCATTCATATGTTAGTCCTATTCCCCTTTACTACCTCCTCCAGGGAGTCTGCTGGGCTTTCCACAGTTGTTCCATATCAGACATTCCAAAGCCCTTGCAACTGTGGCCTCGTGGTACAACTCTTGGGCGTATTCTGTCTCGGCTTGCCTCTTTCTCCTACATTCTCATTATGACCCTCACAGGCTGCCTCCTGGGGGAGGGAGAGAACATAGCACACTGAGGGCCCCTGGAGCAGAGTGACTTGAGCAAGGGCACCAGCTAGCAGGAGGCAGCTCCAGGACGACAGACCAGCTTTCGTGACTTCCAGTTCAGTTCCCCTTTCACCTGGTATGGGGATGGAATGGAAGCTTGGAGTCACTTACCAGCTGTGTGACCTCAGGCAAGTTACTTAAACTCTCTGAGCCTCCCTCTTCTCATCAGCCAAATGGGACTAATAATACCTTCCTTGTGAGTTTGGGGGAAGATTAGGAACATCCATATACATAAAGGATATAGGTCATCATAAATGTTCAAAGAGCCAGTATCATTTACTCCAGGAGGTGAGAATGTCATTGTAAAACTATTTATGTATTTGTGTATTTACATTGGATGTATGCATATGTCTACATAGTTACCTATCTCTCAACAAAATTAATACAATGCACAGTTTTTTTTAAAACCGTACACAAGACCACAAAATGAAAAGTAAAAGTCCCCACAGCTCCCAGCTCACACTCTAGAGTTCACCAGCTGCAGCAGCTCAATGCACAACCTTGGGGAAATTTTCTATACGTAGGCAAGTATTTTGGTGTAAACCACTTAAAAATTTACATGAACGGGATCACGTAGCAAGATATCTTGAGGAGCTTTCCATATCAGCACCTACTGATCCCTCTCCTTGATACGCTTGCACACTATTCCACTATGTGGGTGTTTTAAAACTTTTTCAATTTGGTCCTCTGTTGGTGGACTTTTAGGATCATCACTCTTTTTTTCTTTTTTTTCCCTATTTTGAACAACACTGCTTACATCTTTGTCAGCTTGGGTTAAGAATTCACAGAAAACATAATGATCCTAGGAATTTCTGGGTCAAAATGTATGAACTTTTTTAAAAAGGGGTAGGTAAACGGCGCCTGGGTGGCTCAGTCGGTTAAGTGTCAGACTCTCGCTTTCGGCTCAGGTCATGATCTCAGGGTCCTGGGACTGAGCCCTGAGTCGGGCTCTGTGCTCAGCGGGGAGTCTGCTTCCGATTCTCTCTCTCTGCCCCTCCCCCCATGTGCGCATGCTTTCTCTTTCTCTCAAATAAATAAATCTTTAAAAAAGAAGATATTCATGACACTGTTTAATGGGAAGAAGCAAATGCTAGATGAGCATGTATGTAATAGGATCCACGTTTGCTTTTTAAATAAAGGAGGAAGAGGGAGAGAGATGAGGGAGAGGAAAAGAGGGGGGGTGCCATTCTCTGCGTAATCCTAGCCCTCTGTATGCCCGAGGGGTTACAAATGGGTGCCGGCGGGCACCCGGACCGGTGTTAACAGAGCCTCCCTCCTGGCCTGCCATGAAATTTCAGTGCAGTCATATAGGTGAAGCTTTTGGCAAGTACAGAAAAGATCTTTTTTGTGATTATTTTTTGAAGATGTTGGAAGCATTTAGCCCAGACAGAGAGAGCCTGGCCCGGGCCTGGGCAGGATGCTGCCAGTCCCCACCTCAAGACCCGCGCTACCCTCCCTCATCCTGCTCTGCCCCAGCAGCTGGCCTCCAGCGACCACCTCAATCCAGGTTCAAGTGGGGAGCGGCCCAGAAGTCAGGGCTGGTACCTGCCCATTCCTAGGGCTCACCACCAGGGGCCTGCTTCTCTCCGCCATAGCCACAGCCACCTCAGCACAGAGCCTGGCACGGCACAGGGGTCCCCATCAGTGGTTTCAGAATGAATGAACCAATGGGCAGACCCATAAATGTCCACCAAAGAAGCAGACTTACCTCTACGTATAAGCCTCTAAAGGCTCTTCGGGCGACTCAAATGGCTGGCACTTTGCCCACACACCCACATCACCATAGGTAAACTCAGTCACTCGGGGGAGCCTGGAAGTCCCAACCAGCGTACTCATGGCTTTTGTGCAGGGCCCAGTGTCCCTATGATGCCCTCTGGGACGGGACAATAGCCACCACTGGTTACTGAGTTCATGAATCTGTCAAGTGTTGCCCGACGTCCGGCTCTGCCAGGAAGACAACACCGCCATTTTGCCCCTTTTTCCGAGCCAGGGACTGAACTTTGCATTTCACCGAATCTCACAACATTTGAAGTTTCTTTGTGTGTGTGTGCGTTTAAGATGTTATTTATTTATTTGAGAGAGAGAGCATGAGAGAGAGAGAGAGATCATGAGCGGGGGGAAAGGGCAGAAGGAGAGGGGAGAAGCAGGCTTCCCGCCAAGCAGGGAGCCCGATGTGGGGCTCGATCCCAGGACCCTGAGATCATGACCTGAGCTGAAGGCAGACGCGTAACCGACTGAGCCCCCCGGGCATCCTGAGAAGAAGGTTCTTTGAAGCCCAAAGAGGTTGATCCATGTGCCCAGAGCCACATGACCCCCTGCTTGGCAAGCAGACAGGATGCTCACAGATTAAGAACAAAACAGGAGGAGCACTCAGGGCACTGCGATGGGAGCACTTCCTCTGCCGGAGGGGGTCACTGCCGACATCACAGGGCCCCAAGGAGAGTAGGTGAGAGCTGACCAGGTGGGCCAGGGGTGGGCTCGGCTTTCCTGGGCGAAGGGTAGCCAAGAGCAAGGCCTAGGGTCCTCAAACTGCTCTGGAGAACCACCGCATGTGTGTGTGCAAGGCTGACAGTTGGGGTGGGGTCTTGTTCCGGGAAACTGGGGACTGGGGGGCCATTGCTGGGACAAGGAGAGGGGAGTTGGTGGGGGGGGGGTCCAGTTGGAGGGAGCCAGACAAGGAGGTGAGGGAGGACAGTACAAGCCCCAACTGGCCTCAGCCTCCAGAGCATCCTGACCCGCTTCCCCAGAAGCTTGGAGGCCAGCTGGATAAGAGTGTGTCCGGGGCCCACCTGTGTCCCAGAGCCAGGCCTGTCAGGGAGCCACAGCCAGAGTAGGGGAGGGGGGAGCTCTGTGGGGAGCACAAGACACCTGAGACCCAGCGCTGACCCCCGTTTATCAGGATGACAACTCAAAGGACAAGGTGAGAGAAGGTGCCGAGGCCACCGGGGGGGGGCTCCTTGGACGGACATGCTCTAGACACCCCCACCCATATCCACTTCCCCGCCCCTGGCCCTGGGTCTCCCAGGGCATAAGGAACCAGCTGCTCACCTGAGGCCCAGAGCAGGAGGAGTGAGAGAAGCAGGACCCCCAGGACCCTGGGGGTCATCATCCTTGGGCAGTCTCGCCCGCGCTGGCAGAGCCCTGCGTCTGCGTGTCCCTCCGGTCCCAGTCTCTGTGGTGTGGCCTGCCCCCCCATCCCCCACCCCGTCCCGCCCCCCCCCTCCAACAGCACTTCCTGTGGCCTTTCTCGGCCTTCCTGCCCCACGCCACCACCGGTTGGGTTGTGAAAGGCGAGTGTGGGGAACTGGGCTGCGTTCCTGTCTCACCCCACCCCATGACCGCCCACAGAGGCGGCTGCTGAGCCCACCCAGGGATGCTTCTGGGGGCTGTGAAGTTGGGGTCAGGCAGCCAGAGAGGCCTCCACACCCAAGCAGACCCCTGGGGAATGGTGACGAGCACAGGCTTTGGAGTCAGGCACACCCACATCACACCCTCCCCTCAGTAGCTGGGGACCTCTCTGATCCTCAGTTTCTTCTTCTGTGAAGCAGATACAGCGATAGGGCTGCCTTGTAGGGCCATGTTGGGGTTTGAGGAGACCCGCAACATGCCAGGCAGAAGCCTGGCTACGGGGATGTGGCTGGTGCTCATGCTCCTTCACTCATGCCTCTGGGTTGAACAAGACTGGGATTAAGGCCACGCCTGCTGGGGCCCCAGGACGAGAGGAGGACCAGCTCCGTGGGCCCCAGCCTTCCCTGCCCAGGCTGGGTAACAGGAGAGGTGGGACAGGGTGTGCAGGAGCATGGGCTTGGGGGTTGGTCAGGCCTGGGCTGACGTCTGTCCTGGGCTGTCTGTCCTGGCCCCTCGTGGCTGGGTGAGCTTGGGCGAGCTGTCGGCCGCTCTGAGCCTCTCACAAGACGTACAAAGAACTCATGACACGCGAGTGGAACTGTCCAGACCGCTGGGCTTGGCCACGGTCCTTTTCTCTTTATGATTGTCAGTACTGTGCGATTACTGTCCTAGCACCTATCTGGCCACTGGTGGCCCAGACAGGACGTGGGAGCAGCAAACACACACGGGCGGGGGTGCGCAAGGAAAGGAGAGGGGCTGACCGCTCGGGCCCCAGCTCTGATGGTTCTGAGGAAGTCGTGTGGATGAGGCCAGGTCCCTTGGCGTGGTCCCGTAGGCACTGCAAGATCAAAGGTAGAGAGCACCCCACCAAGAAGGTGCAGCACCCCCCCCCGCAGGGCCTGAGCTGGACGTGCGCCACCCTGGGGGTCTGAGGACCCACCCAGCCCCTTCCCCTTCCTCCCACGCAGTGTCCACACAGGATTCAGTTCCCCACTAGGCCCTCTGCACCTGGGGAGGGTTGAGGAGAGGACATCGGGGTCACTCGTGGGCCGTGGGTGGCAAGTGGGAATCTGGTGTGGGGCCCCAGGCACTTCCTCTGCAGGGGAGGCTTGGGGGCAGGTGGGAACCACGGGGCCTGTCCCGCCTCCCTCCCAGCGGCAGCCAGGCGAGGTGAGATGGTGGACAAGGGCTTTGTGACCTGCGACCTGCTGGGCCCACCGCTGGAGACCCATCCTGGCACCAGGGTCCTCAAAGGGGCTCATGGGGGCCTGTTTGTGAAGAAGGGCCTGGAAGGAGGGACCCAGAGTGTCCAGCACACCTGGAAAGACAGGACCGGGGGGGGGGGTGGCTGGGAATGTGACAAAGATAGCTGGGCAGGGCCAGGGTGAGCTCCACCCCTCCTAGGCCCCACCGGGGCTGGGGACGGGCCTGGAGCCATGTACGAAGCCCTGGGCCCCCCAAATCCCGGGGCAGATGGAACTGGAGCTCTGCTTTCTGCCACCTCCCACCACACCAGCTTGTCCCAGTGGCTCCCTGTGGGCCCCAGTCTCCAGGGACAAGGCCTCCAAGCTTCTGGCTGCTTCAGTCTGTTTTCCACATCAGAGTGACACCCCCTCACGCAAACCTGGCTGCGTCCTTCTGAGAACAGCAGTCCTGCTCTCCAAGGCCCTACAGCCCAGTGAAGGGCACGAAAGGAACCGTCAGGTGGCCCGTCCAGCACCTGTCCTGAGAAGGTGGGCTCCAGCCCGAGAGCCCTCCCCGCTCGCTCCCTGAGCCAGCCTCAAAAACAGCACCTAGTGTTCAGGAGTTCTTTGAAGTGGGACGATTTGTTTGAAGGGTGTGCTCTCTGCCTGGGGAAGGGGGCTGGGTCCTTTCCTTCCCTCCCTGAGGATGGCGGGAGGTGTCCCCCAGGGCTAGCCCAGCGTTGGGGCCCCACGGGACCTTGCGGAGACTGAGAGGTCTGTGAGGAGGGGGCTGGCTCTGACCCCCCTGAGCCGCCCGAGCAGGTCACCGTGGACCAAGCTTGCCTCTGTCCTCAGGACTCGCAGAAAGGTGGAGGCAGAGGCCAACGGGAGGGGAGAGGCAGAGAACACTGGAAGGGAAGCAGGGCACAGGGAGGTCCCGCGTGCCGAGGTCCCTGCAGGGGCCCAGACCCCACATTCGTGCCGTCAGAGGGCACTGCCAGTCTACTCCCGGCTGTTAAGGTGGCTTCGCGTCCGTCCCGTCCGACTCAGACCAGACCCTGGAGCCATTCCCCCCCCCCGCCCCCCGCCCGCCATCCCCCAGGAGCGGCCGGAGGCCGCGCTGGGAGGCAAGTCTGATCCTCTCTTCTCACAGTCCACCTACGTCACCCCGACCCACCAACTCGCTCCGGACACCACGTGACCAGCCAAGGGCCGAATTCCGTCCCCACATCTGATTTCTTTAGCCGGTGAATTTTTTGGATGAGCCAAATTTTTCAGTCAGGGGATTTTGTACCCGCACAATCTGGATTTCTGATTTATCATAAAAGGAGGGTGGTCCGGCCACACGGGTCATCTCTGCACCCCTACACAGGACAGCGAGTGGCTGGAGCCGAGTGGCTTGTCATCTCCACTCCACCACAGACCCCAGCATTCCCCACCGCCTCCCCAGCCCTGACGCCAAGTTGTCCTTTATCCAACCCCCATCCCCCCCCGCCCCGCTAGTCCTGGTGGATAGTTTCCAGCAGTTGATTTTTTTCACACGTGGCCTTCTCTCATCTCTGTTTCCTGATTGGCCCCAAGGTGTTTGTATCAGGGGCGCCTGGGTGGCTCAGTCGTTAAGCGTCTGCCTTCGGCTCAGGTCATGATCCCGGGGTCCTGGGATCGAGCCCCACATCGGGCTCCCTGCTCGACGGGAAGCCTGCTTCTCCCTCTCCCACTCCCCCTGCTTGTGTTCCCTCTCTCGCTGTGTCTCTCTCTGTCAAATAAATAAAATCTTTAAAAAAAAAAAAAAAGGTGTTTGTATCAGTGACTCTTAATAAAAGCACGGAAGAAAGTGGTTTCTTAGGTGATAAGAACAGCTGATTTTTTTTTTTTCTGTGTGCTCTTCTACAGTTTCCAAATTCTCTACAATGAACATCTACTTCTTTAAATTCAAAAGACAAATGAGATAGTGCTTAAAAAGAAAGTCCTTCCCCATCTTTAAGGCTGGGATCCAGATCAAATGTTGTCTCCTACAGGAAGTCTTCCTGGATCCCCAGCAAGGAATGGTGGCTCCCCTTGTAGTTCCAACCCCTTAAGAGCATGTTGGGCTCTAGGCCAGGGTCACCGGGGGAGGCATGCTTCAGTCTTCCCAGGATTGGGGCAGAAACAAATTCGCACTGCTACGCTCCACAGTTCTTGCCACAAGAGGGCTTTGGGAGAGGCTGAGGGTCCCTGGGAGGGGTGGGCTTGGCAGTGGTGAGCAAGGGCGATGCAGCTTATAGAAAGGCCCAGATGGACAGAGAGACCTAGCCCAGCCCAGAACATCTATACTAAGCCTGAGTCAAGGGCAGGCAAAGGCCCGTGCAGTAGATAAAGGTTTACAGCAGACAACTCTTGGAAACCACAACCCAAAATACAGCCCTGGAATCGGGGACCTGCCCAGGGCCGAGTGGGGGGCTGGAGAGGGAGGGCTGGGGAGGCTGACAGAGGGCCCTGGGCTCAGAGGTAGAGGAGTTGCTGCTATGCTCCAGGAGGGCGCTCTCCTCCTCCAGGGCTCTGGCTCAAAGCTCTGCCCCAACCCCATGCGCCCTGAGTACCACTCTCAGGCTAAAATGACAGGACTGCAGAGTACCCTGGTGGCGATCACCGGAGACAGATCGGCTATTAGCACAGGGCCCACGATGCTGCCAGGCCTCACAGGTCCAGGACCTGACCTTGGGGCCCGTGGGCTCCCATCCGCAGCCATGAGGGCTGGGCCCAGTGGCGGTGAGTTCAGACCAGCCTGCAGCCCCCAGTTAGGATGGCAGGGGAACGGTCCCACTCCCGAGCCCCTTGTGAGCTGGACCGGGGCACTGAGTAGCCCACAGGCCAATTCAGAAAGCCCAGCCTGGGAGTCTGGCAACAGTGCCCTCCCCCTGAGGGGCTTGGGCCTTCTTCTCGAGTCTCTGGCTGATCCTCAAGTGTTGGGCCTGGCTGTGGGGGTGGCAGGTGGGGGTGAGGAGAGGCCGCATCTCTGTTTCCTTACGCAGCTCCTGGCGGGTGGCTGGTGGCCTAGATGCGGCTGGACGAGGTGCTGCCCGAGCTGATGGGGAGCCTGGCACTGTCCGAGCTGTTCTTCAGTGGGGAAGGCCCGCCCCGGGCCTGCAGCCGCATGGACCAGTACCAGAGGAAGATGAAGAAGCCTGGGGGCAGTGAGGGAGCACAGGGTTCAGCAGGCGGGGGGCCGCCCTGCCCCTTCCCCCCTCCCTACACAGGCTACCAGCACCCCTGTGATTTGGGGGGGACCCCACCATACACCAGACACTGTGCAATGGCCTGAGCCCCATCTCATTTTATTCTGTCGAGGTTCTCATGGGGTCAGGCCTATTCATTACTATTCTGCTTCACAAACGAGGAAACTGAGGCCCTGGGAGGTAAGGGGCCTTGGCTGAGCCAGGAGTTAAACCCTGGTGTTCAGGCTCCAGAGTACCTGTTTAAGCACCTCTGGGCCAGAACAGAGGGGTGTGTGTGTCTGTGTGTATCCGTCTGTCTGACCTTGGGTGGTGGGGGTGTGCAGAGGGGTGTAGGTAGAAGGACCCTGCTGGCTTCAAGCCCCAGCCCTCATGAGCCAGCCCCTCTGCTCCTCTCCCCTCTGCCCTTCCAACTACCCTTCAGCCTCGCTCCCCCTCCCTGTTCTTCCAACACACAGCCCAGTGCTATAGCTTCTGGACCTTTGTTCTTACTCCCCCCTCTGCCTGGCACGCTCTCTCCTTAGGCCAGACCTCCTCAGCCTGTGCAGCACACACGCACCCCGGGGCACCTGTTACAATGCAGATCTGATTCGGCAAGTCTGGGGAGGCCAGAGTCCCCACGATGCTGATGCCCACGGGCCCGGGAACACACGTGGACTCCCAAGGCCCTTGATCTCTCCCTGGCTGGACCCTTTTGTTGTCTTCAAATGTCTCCCACAGAGGCCTCCCTGGCCACCCTTCCCAAAGTGTCCCCCAGCCCAGCCCAGATGGTTCATCACATCGCCACTGACTGCCCTCCTCCGCGAGATCCCCTCAGATGGCCGCAGGCTTGCTCGTCACGCCTGGTCTTTCCCACAGGAGATGAGCTCCGTGGAAGAAAGGCCCTCACCCAACCAGTCCACGAACGTAGCCCCAAGGCTTAACACAGGGCCTGCACAGAGCAGGTACTCAACAAAGACTTGTCACCTACGGCCTGGGGGCCCCCATTTTACAGACGGGAAGACCGAAGCCCAGAGAAGGGAAGCCTTCGGATTGGGTCCATACCTTCCCTACCCCGTGCTCCATGCATGGGCGCCCTGCCTGGGGCCGGGGGGGAGGGGTGGGCTCTTCTCCACGCCTACCTTGGAAGGAGGTGATGATGCTGAAGAAGTAGAGCACGACAAGCTGGAAGGTGCCCGAAGCAAAGGAGAAGAAGATCAAAGCCCAGGGCAGACCGAGGACCAGGCTGAGGCCCAGCAGCGTCAGCACGTGGGGCCATTTCTGGGCGTGCGGGCGCAGGCGCAGGATCTGCACCACCATGGTGCCCAGCATGGCCGTGTTGAACAGAAACACCAGGCTGAAGAGGCCCAGGTTGGTGACGTGGCTGACCAGGGAGTCCCGGATCCAGCACCTGGGGGCAGAGATGTGAGGGTTGAGTGCATGCTGGCGGGGCTGGCGCGGTGCTTCCCAGGCCAAGGATGTGCGCCTCTGGGAACCCGAGCAACAAACAGCGAGCTGCCTTCAACACCACTGACTCACGGGCCTTCAACCGCTCCAACCTCTATTCCCACTCACACAAAGAAACCCAGGCGCTGCACAAGGTTGCCGGCGAGAGACAGGCAAATCCAGGCCTGTGCTCACCCTCCCTGACCCCCCAGCCTCTGCCAGGCCCACATCTCCAGCAGCCCTGGCGCCCAGGAGGCCCCACTCGGCCTGGGCCGCCCTCTGGCCTCTGCACCCCGAGGCCCGTGTTCCTGAGCCCGCTGTGCTCAGCCACTCACATGGAAGGGTAGATGACACTCTCCGGGGTCCTCTGCACGGCCAGGATGATGGGGCCGTAGTTGTTCACGTCCACTAGAGCCACCAGCATCACGAGAAAGATGGGGAAGCCTGCGGGGCCACGAAGCATGGAGCTCTGTCCCCCGCCCTCTGGCAAGACCCTTCTCCCAGGCTTACATTCAGCTCCGTGTGGGGAGGTCCTCCATGATCAGACTCTCCCCTTCCCTGCTCCAGTTTGGGTTTCCCAGAGAGAGCCCCATCTCCGCTGACCTTCTGCCTCCCCCCCTCACCATCCCGGGGGCCCGTGGGAGAAAGGGCCTGCACTTCCCGCCGAGGGGCAGGACGTCACAAGGGAGATGGGAGGCACAGACTGGGAGGGTGGGGGAGAGCTGAAGGGGGGGTCTTCCAGAGTCTGCACTAGGCCTTGACTTTGTCCACGGGCTGAAGCTTGAGAGCTCTCTCCAGAAGGGGTCACCCACCACCAAACACCTGGGTCTTGGCACAGAGACAACTCTGAAGGAATTTTATGTAAATCGAGGGAGTGAACCAAGAAAGGGTCAGAGGAGAAACACGGGTGGGGCAACAAGTTGGGTGAGGGACATGTGGAGCCCGGCAGGCCTGTGCAACATCCAGAAGGACTTGCAGTGTGGCCCCTGGGCCTCCAGGTCTGACTGAGAGGTCTGGGCCATGGGTAAATTGGGTGGTCTTGGCCAAGAACAAATGCCAGAGCTACGGGGAATCTGTTACCTGAAGCTTAGGAGGATCCACAGACAGAGCCACTGCCAGCCTGAATTAGGTGAGTGGAGGACTGGAGGACAGCCCACTCCTCCCCCAACAGGGTGCCTTTGAGCAGTGCACAACATGCACATCCATACACAGTGGCTCTGTCTGCAAACCCCGCTTTTAAAAGAGTGAGCACTGTAGAGAATATGTGTTTCTTGGGAGCCATGCTCACCACTTCATCTTCCTAAAGGGGACCTTAACCCAGCCCAGGTGAAGAACAGTTGAGGATGGGTGGGTGAAGGAAAGAGTGAGGGAACAGAGAGGTAAGCAGAGAAGTGGAACCAGGTGCCTGCATTTTACCAAGTAGAAGAGGCAGGTCTCTCCCAACTTACCCCAGCCTATGATGCTCAGTTTGAGCAGGTAGCCAGGGACATAAGTGCCAAAGACCTCGACCACCAGTCGGTAGAGGTTGTAGCCCTCGAGGCCCATCCAGGAGAGGCAGGCGAGCAGAGAGAAGTGCAGGAAGATGGCGCTGGCACGGCAGCCAGCCTCGGAGCCTGTCAGGGCCACCGGCTCACTCAGCAGAAAGCTCACGTCCAGCAGGAAGACCGCCAGCAGCAAGTTCATGTGCACTTTGATGGTGTAATCCCGAGGCTTCCTCCTGCGCAGGGAAGGGGGTGGGGTCACCCTGGTGGCCAGCGTGGGAAGGTGGGGGGCAGCACTCCTCCACCAGGCAGCCTTCCCAGGCTACACACACACACACACACACACACCCTATCCTATCCCTATGGCTGCAGCCAGGTTGTTCCCCACCTGTCCCTGTGCACCTGCTGTGTGCCCAACACCCACAGGCTTGGGCACCGTGGGCACATTTAACAACAGATTTAGCCACGGACAGAGCAAGCAAGACAAATCCAGCCACTACAATCAACCAGATGCTCCTAGAGTTGGAGGGGAAAGACTTTGGATTTGTTGCTGTTTTGGAGAATCCATGCCACCCGTGTTCTGTGTCCGCCTGTCTGTCTGCACAGCCGTGTGTCTGTGAGGCTGATTGTGGGGGGGGCGGTCCTGTCTGTCTTCAGGTTTGTAAGTCTGGGTGCACATCCCAGCGCCCCTCCCACCCCAGGGCTCTACCCGATCCAGGGCACCTTCGGCATTTCCTCCCCGGCCCCCCACGCCCCAACTGCGCTCTGCCTGGCACCACCCACCACCTGTGCCGGAGGGCTGGACGGCATAGCCACGCCCACCCACCCGTGCCTCGAGCTACCACCTTGGGCTGCTCCCTCCCCGCCCCTGCCTGCAGTTCACTCGTCTATGTCGGGCACAGACAAAATGCGCAGTCCCTAAGGTTCCCTGTCCCTATCCTTGGGCACTTTTGTGATTAATGGGTAGGCGCCGGGGGGCTCGGCCCCCACCCCCCGGCCTCCCCGGAGCCTGCCCCTCGTCACTACTCCAGCCCCACCACGCGCACAGCTGCGGGCTCACACAACACAATCACCGACATGCCCGTAAGCCCACGCCCCCCCACCCGTGCAGACAGCGAACACACCCCACGTGCTTGCACCTACACCCCCCAACGCAAACGGGTCCAGGCCCTGACGGCAGGTGGACCTCAACTTAAGCCAAGCCCAGCACTGACCATCCAGACCCGTCCACGCGGCCGGTGTGGGGATGGATGCAGGCACTCCTCACTCCACCCAAGCCTTTCCGTGGGGCTCCTTCTTCCTCGGGCACCCAAACAACAAAAGTGGAGTGACAGAAGCTTCCATGGGGGGATGGGGGAGGCTTTGTCAAACTCGAATGCCCGCGGGGGCCGGGCCTTAAATCAGACACCGGACAATAGGGCGCTGGAAGGAACTCTCCACAGTGGCCACGGCTTGGCTTCCGAAACTGAGGCCTTGCGGACCTGGAGCCAGCCTGCCTGGGTGTAAGCCTGCCTCGGCCACTTCCTCGCTGTGTGACCTCAGGCAAGTCCCTTACCCTCTCTGACCGCTCTTTCATGGGGCCCTTGTGAGGCCTGAACCAATTTCATGCACGTAAAGCACTTAGAACAGTGGGTAGCACGTGGGAAGCTCCAAGAACGTGTTGACCATTATAATTGTCACCATCATATTATTATGTGCCCCCAGTGGTGACACATCTGATTCTTCAAAGGCAGAAATCTAGATTTTTATGTCACCTCTCCCCGTGTTCAGTGTTGATAATAAAGTTTGTTAAGTGTCATGTCATCCGAATACCACAGAGCTGAGGAGGAGATGTAGCCCCCGCCTCCCAGGGCTCCTTCCTACAACCGCACACGCATTTTGGGGTGCGTCAAGCCAATCTCCAGGGTAGGTCTCCATGGTCCCGGGGTCCCGGCTTAGGGGCCCGGAAGGAAGGTTCTCCCTACCCCCGCCTTTCCCCACCTTTCCCGCCTTTCCCCGCCTGGCCAGGCCCTACCTGTAGCAGAGGTAGGTGGCGATGGTGAGGACGCAGGCCAGAGCCGAGATGACGCAGCCCAGGTAGGATACGATGGTCAGGTAGTGCTTGTGTACGGCGTCTACCTCCACAGATGGGGCCTGGGTCCACGAGACAGGCGGGGCCTGGCCTCAGTGTCCCCAGCTTGACACGGAGGGTTTGCCCCAGGTGAAGGACCAACCTGAGCTCCCAGGGGGCGGGGGGGGCGGGGCCTCGGGCATCTGCGAACCACCACCACCCCGAACTGAGCAGAGGGCGGTCCCGTGAGTGCATTCTTCGGAAGAGGAGAGGGTCTACAGTTTTCACCGCATCCTCAAATGGGTCTCCACCCACTACCGGCAAGGACCCTCCACTAGAGGGCGCCCGGGTGGCTCAGCCCGTTAAGCGGTTTAAGCGTCTGCCTTCCGCTCAGGTCATGATCACGGGGTCCTGGGATCAAGTCCCATATCGGGCCCCCTGCTCAGCGGGGAGTCTGCTTCTCCCTCTCCCTCTCCCCCTCCCCACTGCTCGTGCTCTCTCTCTCTCACTCTCTCTCAAACAAATAAATAAAATCTTAAAAAAAAAAAAAAAGAACCCTCCACCAGAGAATCCCTTTTCCGGACTGGCACTCATTTTTTTCTATAATGTTCAACACTGGAGTGAGCACCCCATACCCAGGGAGGACTGGAAGACCACTCCGATCCCTCAGAAGTCGGGTCCCAAGATTCTGGGAGAATGAACCTAGGACACAAAGCTTCTGTGATCTTGGGGACACTGAAGTCCTTTGTGAGGCCCTCCACAATGGGCCTCAGTATCCCCTCGAGGGCTCTTTGGAAACATACTTGCGCCCCTCGCCCAGCCTGTGGAATCAGAATTCTAGGTTAGGGCCAGGAATGTGCACTTTTATCGTGCACCCAAATTTGGGAATAAAGAGCAAAGGTTTTAATGACCAGCTCTTCCACTTACTAGCTGTGTGACCTTATGTAAATTGCTTAAGCTCTCTGAGCCTCAGTTTCCTTATCTGTAAGATAGGACAGCAGCAGGAGACGCCTCGGGGGTTGGTGTGAGGAACCAATGACATATATGTGAAAGGTGGCTGGCACGGGGCAAGAAGAGGACCCCTCACCATGAGCACTGCAAAGTAGGTCAGGTGGTTGCAGAGGCAGGACGTCTGTGTCTCTCTCCCGATGGTCTCACACCCAGCATCGCTCCAGCTCCCCGGGCTGCTCACTGAGGAAGGGTTCCATGGGGCTCTGATCAAGCCCAGTCCCTCAGGACCCCACTGGACCCCCCGAAATGCATAATTGTGTCACTCTTCTGAGCCTTCACTCCCCCTGGCAAATATCTAGTCTGCCATCATTCCTTCTTCAAAGCCCATTTTCTCCAGGAAGCCCTCCCTGATTAACCCCATCTCCCCCACTCTCTAGGACCCCCTTTCTCCTCCAGATACCCACCCAACTCAGAGACCCCTTCACACTCACATGCTGGGTCTTCAACCCAGAATACGCACTGGAGAGTCACGTTTTTCTGTAGGGACAAGAAAGGAGAGTGGACCCCATCACAGCCCACTCCTTTCTGGGCCAGGTGGAGGAAATCAGTGTCAGGCCACCACCCCATGTGGACCTGACCGGCTGAGGTCCTCAGCCAGCTGGTCATTTTGTTAAAGACAAGTGACTTGGGAGGCAGGGCAGAAAAGACAAACAGGGACCCTTGTCTCCTCGGCTGGTTTGTCTGCACTCACCGGCTGTGGCTGGTGCTGGAAGGTGAGCACCACGGGCTCCGAGAGGTTGGCTACTTTGGTGTTCTGCACGACGATACCCAAGACCTTCTCACCCAGGACTTGACTGGAATTCTTGTCCTAGATACATCGGATGGGGGAGGAGAGGGAGGGGGGAGGGCTCAAGGCTGAGAAGGCCCAGACGTCCCCTAGTTTCTCTAGACTCCTGTCTCTCCCCCACACATTGCTCTGAGATGCTCAGTCTCCCTCTGGCAACAGTTCTTGAACATGTAGTCATTTACACTGTAGTGAAAACAACATAATTTAGCATTCTCCGGGGGGGGATTCGCATGTCACAGTCCAGTTTCTGCCCTTACAAGGAAAGGCTCTAACTTCTGGATGAGGGGGCTTGGCTCTATGCCCGCCTTCCACCTCCCCATCAGACAGAAACTGCTTTCCCCGGTGCCCCCCACCTGGAACAGGGCTTGGCTGCTGAAGTCCACCAGAAGGAGTCTCTTTTCAGCCTCCCCTCTCCGGCCTTTGGTCTTCTGGAAGAGTGTGCGGGGCAGCTGCACCGAGTACTCCTGGACCTCACTCTGTTCCTCCTGCAGACCAGAACCCCTGTGGGGCTCAGCCAGGGGTGGGCTCCCAGGTCTCTACATGCCCCCGCCCCCCAACACCTTCCCGGATGCTGCCACCTCAAAGCCCACCTCCTCCAGGAAGCCCTCCTTTCCTTGGCTCCAGCCCTGGCTGGGGAGCCTGGTGGGTAGAGCCCAGGGCCCCAGGGGGGCAAACAGGCCTGGGAGACTGCTGTGCCATCTGGGCTCCCCAGGGGGTAGCGTGAGGGCAGCGTGGGTAGCTCCCGGCCGCCGGGCCCACGCAAGGGGTAGTCTCAAGGCTGACTGACATGCACGCACAGGAGCTTTGGGTCTTCTGTTCCCGCAGGGATACTATAGGAGCCCCTGATGCCGGTCCCGCCCCATCCCCACCACTGTGCCAGGAAGGGTCCTCTGCCACGGGGCAGCCGCTAACAGGGGATTCCTTAGGCCCGAGACCGTCCTTATCAGCACACATCTGGCTCCCAGAGGCCCCGGGGAGGGGAATGTTCACGCCTCCACGTCTGTTTCCTGCCCCGGCCAGTCTGGCCCTGGCCCCTGACCCCTGACCTGGCGCCTGGAATGGATGTGCAGGTCCTGGAGGCTGGCTGTGGGCTGCAGCTTCCACACCGTGGCGTTGACCAGATCCTCCTCGAAGGACAGCACGTCCCCTGGGAACTTCACAGAGGTCAGCTTCGACTCCAGGCTCTGCAGCCTCCTGGCAGGGGGAGAAGGGGCGGGGAGGTTGATCCAGGCGGACAGGGACATGGAGCTAGACGGGGACTCTCAGCAGAGACCCAGGAAAGAGGCAGGCTGAGACCGGGGCGGGAGGGTCCGGGGGCAGCAGGGAGGGGGCTCGGGAGAAAACAGCCCTAGGGCTGGCGCTGGTGCGGGAGAGAGCATGGCCTGTGGGCGAGTGGGGGGCGAGGTGAGAGGAAGCCGGAACATCAGAGCTAACAGGAAAGGGGGGCGTAATCCTGAGCACCAGGTTCCGGGCCCAGCTCTGCCTGGACTGACCCGCTCTGTGGCCATGGAGCAGCCCGACCCAAATCGGGGCCTCAGCTCTCAAATGGGCTGGTCAGGTCTCCTTTCTTGGTGGGGAAGAGGGCTTAGGTGGCTGGCTGGGGATGATGATACGTGTTTTTACAAAGGTCAGGGGCTCGGCCTGCGGGGCTGGATTTCGATTCTTCTCAAGGAGGAGGTGGAAAGATGAGGGCAACATTGCGGCCCCAGGAGAGGCCTCTGTCCTGCCTCCCACTCCGGGTCGCCGCCCTGCCCACATCCAGGTCCCTGGGGCCACACTTACTGGCTGGCAAGGGTGGACGAGGGCCTCCTCGAGGTCTTTCCGGGGTGCCTCAGAAGCTGGTTGAGCTGCTCGAGGTCCCTTTTCAGCTCACACATGTCCACCGAGGCATTGTGGGAGGCCTTCTGGGGAGGATCTGGAGGAGGGGAGGACAGAGGCACCTGAGGCTAACTGGGAGCAAGGTGCAGGCCACACCCCTCCTACTCCCATTTAACCCTCTGGTGACTGTGAAGGCCTCTCTCCCCAGTTTTATAGAAGTTGAAAGTGAGCCTCCAAAACATGGGGTGGATCCCCCAAGGTCACCCAGAAGTTGGCCACATGCGGGCTCTGCCACACAGAACCCTCCAGCAACTCCAGCCCCAGCAGGGCCAGCCAGGACACACCTGCCCAGGTGCCCTTCTGCCCACACAGCTGGAGCTGGGAGGGCCCACCCGAGGAGGGCCGGGGGCTGTGGGGAGCTTGTGTGGCCTCTGGCTCCTGACATCCACTCCCGTCTTTCCACGCTCGCTGCTCCCACCCTGGGCGGGCCTCATCTTCCTTCACCTGGACCTTCCCTGCAGCCTCTGGATGGGACTTTGCCCCTCTGCCTTCACCCCTACCTTCCCACAAACCTTCCTGAAAGCACACCTTGGATCACACCCTTCCCCTCCTCAGACACCTTCAATGGCTCCCCACTGCCTGGGAACAAAGCCTAAGCTCCAGGACCATGACCGGTCATTCAGACCCAGGCCTTTGTCCAAGTTGTTCCTTCTGCCTGGGAGTCGCCTTACTGTGGAAGGAGAAGGTGAAGCCGGTAGCACTGGGCAGACTGGTGTTCTGGGGGCTCCACCAGGAGCTGACAGAGGTGGCGAGCAGTGGGGGGCCCTGAGCCAGGCTCTCCTTGTGGTGCCGGAAGCACAGGAGTCCAGAGGCTTGGTTACTCAGCAAGAAGTCGTTCTTGCCGTAGCGAAGATGCAGTATCCCCGCATGGCGGTTCCAGTACAAGCAGAAGTGGTAGAGGCCCCTTGGGTCAGGGAAGGGCTGGGAAGCCGGGAGGACTGCCAGGAAGGGAGCATGAATTGTGAGGGCTCCCTCCGAGTTCTTGATGGAGATGTGCAGCTCTGAAGTCTGCTTGTAATGGAGGCTGCTCTTCTGTGTCTGGTTCCTCTGGCCACAGAAACGGAAGTCTTCACGGGGCCCCCCACCATGGGTACCTGGGGAGGTAAAGACTACAGATGGGACTCTGGGGCAGGGAGCAGCCAGGGGCAGGAGAGGAGTTTAGGCCTTGGGCCCAGAATACTGGATCCCAGTGCCTGGGATCTACATCCGTTCCAAGGACCTATACCTCAAAGGTCTACAAAAATGTGAATGTGCCCTACTCACAAATTACTAGCTTCAAATTATGAAAAGAACTAAAAATTAATAATAATTTCAAAGGCAAAAAACATTTTAATGGCAATAAAGTACTTCATGAGGCCATGCCTGCCATAGACGGTTGTGCAGGCTGTGCACTGCACAAGGATGCTCTGGCTGCAGAGCTGAGTGGGACCAAAACACAGTCCATGTTTCCCACCCCAAGCTGTGCACTGTGGGAAGAAGGGATGGCTTTTTCTGCAAGATACCATCCACTTGCTAAACTGTGTCTAAAGTCCCATGCCTGCCCAAAGGGGTTAGTGGATATGCTGGCAGCTGTCCTAGACATGGGGGCATTGTAATGTATGTCACAACAGTCCCAGGGCATCCCCAAGATAGCCTACCTTGAACCAGGAAGAGCAGACATAGCAGGAACAGGGCCTTCTGCCGCAGCACTTGGGCGGCCATCTTTCTCCCCAAGGTCACCCTGAGAAGTCAGCACCTGAAAGAGGCCAGGAGTGTTAGCTGGGGCCAGATCTGCAAGGTGGTTGGGCCAGCCCTGCAGAGGGGGAGGCCGGTGTAGCTTGGGTGTGGGATGTGAGGTAGGGAAGCAAGTGTGGAAACAGCCCGTGGGTCTCCCCAGAGCTGCCAGAAGCTGAGCATCAAGGGACAGCAGCTGTCCGGAGCCTGGCTGAGTTCAAGTCCTGGCTCCTCCTCTCACTTGCTGCATGACCCTGTGCAAGTCACAGAAAATGGGGCAAATAATAGTACTTTCCTCTAGACCCAGCAATGATGGGGTCATCTTGGCTAGAATCTGGCGGGGAAGGCTCCACAGCACCATCTGGAACCACCCCCACCACCCTGCCCCTCCAGGCCTGGAGGAGATGCAGGAAAAAGGGGGCTCTTCGGGTTCTCCTCCAGGAACCTCACCATCATCATCCCCAAGACCCAGCTCAGAGGACACCTCCTTCAGGAAACCTTCCCCAACTCCTTCTACAGTCAGTCCTGGCTTCCTTTGACTTCCCACCACTGGCCAGGGCCTCCTCTGTCCCCCAGGCAATGCAGGATGGTGCAGTCCCTCCTCAGCTAGCAAGGCAGCTCCTGGCCCATCTCTGCCGACAGGGCTGAGTGCACGGGGGCGGCGGGGGGGGTGCTGGACAAAGGCTGGTTGGTTGGACGGGCGAGTGAAATGAAGGATCAACGCCCCCACAGCGCCCCCTGCAGGGAAGGGAACGGTGGAGAAGGGTGCTTCCTGTCATTACCACCAGGGGGAGCCAGTTCCCAGGGCGCCCCCCAGCCCCACCCTGGTGTAGCGCGGGCACTTCTGCCTCTCCACGGCCTCGGTTAGCCGAACACCAGTCGGCCCGCCTGTGTTCTCCCAGAGCACCCCGTACCTGTCTGTATTCATTGTCACTTCAGCTCTGTGAAGTGGGCCCTACCATTGGCCCCTTTCCCAGACAAGGAATCAGAAGCCCAAGGGGTTAAATGACCTGCCCAAGATTATTCCAGAGGCCAGGGCTTTCCCTGCCTGGTCAGGACGGTGGTGCCCGGCAGGAAACTGCACGCCTGGCACTGGGAGAGAGAAGCCGGGTGGCCTCCCCACGGCTAGCTGGCCCCGTGACTGAGCGAGGCGCGGACACACACACAGCCTCCTTCAGTTCATGGGGAACCGCATGTGGCCGTGGCGACACATGCCATCATCTGCCACAAGCCAGACGAAAGGAAGCCTGGAGACCTGGGTTCACGAGAAGTCTCAGTTTAGGGGAAGCCAAGGGGCTCCCAGGAAGAGGTGGCTTTTGGACAGAATATTGGAGGGTAGCATTAAAGGGACGGGGGGCCCAGGCAGGAGCTCACTGTCTTTGTCCTTGAACTAACCTGACCCCCTGAAGCTAGAGCCAGTCTCCCATGTCCCACCACGCATAATGGAACCCCAATTTCAAGGGCCTTGTCAGTCCATTTATTGGTCACCTGGGCTCATCATCTTGCCTCTGTGGCATCACAGGACCCCTTAGAAGAAGCCTATGAAAGTGTTTTAGGGAATGGTCATTGTCACCCAGGTTGTGATTTTTAAGGTTTCACTCTGTGTTCTCCGCTCTGAGCATTTTGGCCCCTTTTGTAACTGCATCCTGCCACCTCAGACCAACGGGAGGAAACCCAGCATCCAGAGACGGAGCTATGTCCCTCCTGGACCCCCTTCTTTTCTCCCCCTCCTGCCAGTCCCTGCTGCTAGCTGCCTCTGATCCCCGAGACAAATGTCACCTCCTCCAGGCAGCCCCGCTCTCTGCAACCACTGCTCTATACTTGGGAACTCGTAGCTGACAGATCACTTACGGATTTGGTCCAAATTCTCCATTTTATAGTATTTGCATTCAAGGCCCAGAGAGGGCCAATGGCTTCCTGACATCACACAGCAAGCAAAAACGGAGCTGGCCAAAAATCCATGTGCCTCTATGGCCTACTGACCTTCAAAGTGAGCTACCCGTGTTGGTAGACAAGGGCCCTGGACAGGGCAGAGTCATCCACTTTGCATCAACCCTCCTGGATTGAGCTTTGAGAGCAAAAAGGCCGAGACAAAGAAGTGACCTTCCAGTCATTGGAGGGACACACGCGAGGTTGTGTGAAGTACACAGAGGGGATTCAAACACAGACGAGGTACCAAGGTACCTGTCCCTTCCAGGCTCATCTTCACTCTACCCTGGCCACTCCGAGGTGGACCACGTTGTCCCCATGGGCATTCTTGGGATGTGAGTGGGAGGGTCTGCCTGGCTTCCTTTAACCCCCTCTTAGGCAGTGGAGTGGACTCTGGAGCCAGACTGCCTGTGTTCAACTCCAGCTTCTCCTGCTCGCTGGCTGTGTGTCCTTGGGCTGGTTCCTCACCCTCTCTGGTCCTCACTTTCCACATCTGTACATGAATTGATACTTATAAAGGACTTAGAACACGGCCACGCATGGTGTCAACTACATATCTCTGTGTACTTTCTGACCAGCTTATGCCTGCCCCTAAGTCGGCCCTTGGGCCTGTCACAGAGCCCTACTGCCTCCGCTCCCACCTTCCATGCCGCCTGCCTCGTGGCCCTGGCCAGCTCAGCCTCCAGAGCACCTTGACGGGAAATTCTTAGAGCATGAAACTTTCCTTCCGGGAGCTCAACGGGAAGCCTGGAACCGCACCCAGAAAAGCTCCATCCTTGTAGTCCTGACCTCTGGACCCTCCGAGGGGCGAGAGAGCGGGACCAGGGGCAAAGAGAAGATTCCAGCCCCTACCAGGAAGGGGGACGGCACTGCCCGGCTTGTCTACTTGGCACCTTCCCAGCCCCATTTCACACTTCAGAGAACCCTGCCCGCTCCCGTCACACCCTCTTCCTTCCCTCCATCCCCTGCCTGGGCCGGGGGGGGTGGCGGGTTGGGGCGGGGGGGCTACGGTCTGCCCCCTGCACACACACCCGCCGCCCCATGCAGCCGGCTCTGATGTGGTCAGCATCCATGACGGGGGCCACACTGTCCCAGCGCCTCCGACAGGGCTGCAGAATGCCCTGGTCACCACCCTGGGAGCCCCCCACTTGACTCAGCCAAGGAGGGAGGGTCCTGTGCTCTGGAGGCTGAACACCAGACCCCGGAGCCAGGGGCCCACACGTGGACCTCGACACAGACTACGCGGGCAGAACCTTGTCCCTGGTCTCTGGAGCCGCGGACCAGCAGAGCGGGACAGGCCTCGGGAGCCAAAGACTCTTAAAACCAAGCGTCGGTGCGCAGGCGAGGCCTTCGTCAGACCTCACACAGCACCGGCCAGGGCCAGGGCGCCGCCGAGAGGGGTACTCCAGCAGCACCGCGACAATCAGAGCAGGAGCGTCACTCCGTGAGGTTGGTCCTACTGGTTTGCCATTTTACAGACGAGGAAACTGAGGCTAGGGAAGGGTTATCTGATCCGAGATCACCCCAGGTGGAGCCAAGACACAGACCTGCGTCTCCCCCTAGAGAACTCCTTGCAGAGCTGGTACTGACCGAGGTCCTAGAGATGCACGCTCCCCCCGCTTTGGGAGATCCCCCAAAGAAAAGGAGATACGAATGAGGGGGCAGCCAAGACCACCAGCAGGTGCAGACAGCTCCAGCCTGGGAGAGAGGGTCTGGGGGCCAAGTCGCCCAGGAGGGATCCCCTCCCACCTCCCCTTTTGGAGCAGCTGCCCTTGACTTCCCGCCTTCCGTAAACACACACAGGGAACAGAACAGTCCGGCCCAGCTTGACACAATGGGGGCCACCATCACAGGGTCCTCGGGGACACAGGCAGAGCAGAGGGTGACCAGGGCTTGTCTGAGCCCACACTCCCGCACCCACCCCCAGGACTGGCTGGGCCCAGGAGAAGGAGCTCTGGCTCCCGCTCAGACCCAGCCCTGCCCATCCTCATGATGGGGGAGGGGGCACTGGGCAGGGGAACTGCGGCTCACTTTCTCCCCCCCGGGGGCCTGAGTCACTTCCTCTGCCACCCGTGTGGAGCCACGAGTCACCGCTGGCCCAGTCCAGGCTCCTGGAAAACCCATTTCCTCGGAGGACAGAGGTGGAAGTTGAGTGGACAGGACCTGGTCGGCTTGGGGTTAACCCTTCATGGGCCCAGACCCAGCCCCCCCAGCCGCTTTTCTTCTCCTTCCCATTACACACACTGTGGAGGTACCATCCCCACCTCCACACGGACCCTCTGCCTGGAATGCCTTCCCTATCCTTATGACAACCCAATCCATCTGTTGAGACTCAGTTAAGACACACTCCCCATGAAGTGTTACCTAACCACCCATCCCCTGTCAGGATTAACTACATGTTCTGGCGGGGGGAGAGGGGAGCCACGGCCCACCCTCCACTCTCTATGCCCTCCGCTGCCATGAGAAGTTCATATCAGAGGTGCGCAAACTTGCCCGTGGGTCAGAACCACCCCGGGGAGCTCACGAAAATGCAGACTCACGCGCCCCGCACGCTGAGGATCAGAAGCAGCAGGTCTGGGGGGCGGCTCGGAGTCCGGCTTTAACAAGCGTCCCATTGATTGACGCTCTGAGGGCTTGGAACCACTGGATTCCAAGCCTGGGATAACAGTAGCCGTGTTTTCCAGAGAGTCAGAGACGAGGGGGGCCCTGGCCCAGATCATTCAGCTGCTGAATGGCACGGCCTGGGCTGGGGGTGCCTCTTGTCCACCCACTGGCAAGGACACGTCGCCCCTCGATGGTTCACCTGGTGCTCAGCAGGGTGCCAGGAACCTGGAAGGGGCTTCCCGAAGGACAGAAGGGAGGAGGAGGGCCGGGGTGGAAGGGGAACCCTGGAGTGGGTTTTCGGGTGTGAGCCTGATCTTGCCTTCCTTGGGGGTGGGACACAAGGAAGCGGACCCAGCCTCGATCCTTAGCTGTTCACCAGGAGGGGGGCCAACAGGGAGCTGCAGGCTACCCCCTTGAGCCCGGGGCAGAGGGCTTAGGAAAGAAGGATGTGACCCAGGACAGAGACAAGGAGACAGGTGGGTGAGCATA